TTTAATTATATTTTTCTCAAATTTCGAATTATTGTCGATTAGCTGTTCTTCTTCATCTTCTTCTTCAATCAAAATTATAAGTATCAAATGAATATTGCAATACTTTTACGACAATTAAAAGTAGAAATATAACTTTTGTTGGATCCAAAACATTATCCATTGATCAATGTATTTTTATTGTGTTCTGCAAGCAAATACTCATATTGTATAAGACTACTTGATGAATTTTATCCTGTTGACAAATTATTTGATCTATTTGTTAATACAGCAATCTTAACAAAAGAATATGTTAATGTAAAGTGTATGATAGAATTTCTTTGTTTCTATAATTCTAGTTTTAGATTGAAAATTTTCTTCTAGTGCATACTATATTCACTGATCGTAATAAAATAATAGATGCAAGTGTTCATAAATCAGCACTTGAACAAATGACGATAATGTTTCTTGAAATTGTTTGAAACTTAACTCATGCGTTAGTATTACTACTTTTTGATCGTAGTCTACACATAGCTTCATTACTTGATAAGTAAGCATGCATTCAATTTAAGATGAATTTAAGTATAGTTAAGAAAGATTTGTCGGATCACACAAGTGATCTAGAATATACATTTGATCTATACTTTGAATTATGTTCAACAAAGTAGTATAGTCATATTTTTTCGAAACTAACATTGATAACTGGTGCAATGGATGTTTTACATCATATTACAACAAAGTAATGAGCTTTTAGATCGTTGGTTTAATGTCTTTTTATCTATTTAAATAGATTTGAAGAAAAAAAATCCAATCTTGGTTTCATTTCAAACAGTATTACTAAGACATATTCTTTCATCAGGAAATATATGTTCATTCCGATTCTCATGTTGTTACTCAGTCACTAGTTGGCAAATTCACAGAGATACTGTTTGTTTGTTTTCTTTAAGAATAATCATATTCTGCACATTATATGTTGAATTAGGATTCCTTGAATATTTAAGAATCGCAGTAGCAAAAAATGGATAGAATGATTTTTCTCAAGATTCATATGATCGATATAAAAGAAAGTTTTACTTTATTTAGACGTGTACAATTTCAAATTATACAAAATGCTTATTCATGCTAAAAACATTTATCTCGTTTCGCATATAAAAATAATTTATTCGAAACTCCTTCGTTGAACAAAAAAGAATCGAATTTTAATATCACATCTCAATGTTCCACCATCATTTTCACATCTGATATATGATTAGAAAAAAAGATTTGACAATTCTTTAATTTAATCGAAAGGTGTTGTTCTATATAGTAGGTTGATGGAAACCTGCGAAGAATTTTCAGTAGCTATCCTTCGCGTAAGGAGATCCCATAGAAATAAAATGATGATACGATTATTTCTTTTTGTCCAACATAAATGTTTTTGGTTTAATTGATTGTTGAACTATGCACTAATAATTCTAAATATTTCGAATGAACCTCTTTTTTAATGATGTCGAAATATACAATAAGTGATGGATGACTTTCTCGTGAGATTTCGATGATAACAAGTACATGATCATATTACTGATGCTGATGACGAGTAACCAGATAAGTATCGCTTTTTTGACCATATTCGATTATAATTCTTTTACGAAAAACAAACAAATTTTTTCTCAAAAATAACTAAATACTTCAATGATGATCAGATAACATCGAATGATCATATAATGACTGATGAACATATTATCTTACTCTCACGTCAGTATTATAATACGTTTGTTTGAGGTTTAATTTCATAAAAAGTTATTCACACTGATAATCAACTTTTGAAATATTAAAAGATTCGTTCTTTCCAAATGTATAAGGAAAAAAATAATAATAAGCATGAGTTGTGAATTCAAACATTTATTTTTAACTTATAGCATTCGCTGAAAAACTATTTTCTCGGTTGTTTATACTCAATAATACTGGTATCAAAGTTACATAAATTTTCAGGACGTGCATTATGTTTGAAAGATTATTCTTTTAGTCAACCAAAACGAAACAGTTGTTCTTTGGGTGTGGGTGTTGGTGCGGATATGGGTGAGCGTGTGCAGCGTGTAGGTGTGAGCGTAGGTCTGCCCATACCTGTGAGAACTCAAACTTCATACTCACTCCTACGTAACCCCACACCCACACCCTCAAGAAATACATTGTAAAATAATGTTCTCGGTATTTGATACAGTCTTTGGGTGCATGGATGTAAATCATTCGTGTTTACTAAATATCATTCTTATGATTCCATCATTGCATATTTTGTCGTAAATAATTTCGTGTTTCGGTGATAGTCCATGTGTATGTGCTCGTTTTGCGACCATATTGATAATGAAATTAGATCAATCAAAAATAAATATGTATGTTCCGTATTAGAACTGAGGGTGTGGGTGTAGATTTAGGGTGCGATTTAAGAGAAGAAGTGCACCCACACCCTTTTCTGGTCCATAAACTGTCGCTTCCAATTTTTTGACTATTGTTTGACTACTGACTTGTGATAACGTTTTTGAACTTAAAAATGGACTTTTATAAAAAAAAAAAGGACAACGTCATGCCCTGTGTCTTGGTGTGCTCTTCCAAAAAAAACAATTTATGAAATTGGACGAGTCATAACAGAGCAGTTTTTGGATGCCAAATCAGCTATTTTCAATCATTGTTTGGTCTATATTTCACTTAAACCTGCAGATTTGGGGCTGACAATTTTATGATCGACTCTCCACTGTAGCATCAACATGTCCTCCAAATTTCAGCCCATTCGAACGCTCCTAAGGCGAAATCAATTTTTGAAGGAGGGGGGCTTAAACAATTATTATGGTTTGTTTATTATATTAGTCGGATTGAAGATCTTCATTTTTTCTATCATGAAACGTTTTTAGCCATTTCTATCGTTTACACAGGTATAGAGTTCGATAGAAACTAGAAAAAAAACATTAAACGTGGGACCAAGAGGCCCAACAAAAAAACTTTAGCTCATCGGCTCGAAAGAGGAGTCTTGTTGGACCAAGCCCGCTGCCCGTTTCGAGGTCTGGTTCTTGTTATTCATTTATTCTATTGTTAGTTCTCTTGAATGATCCTTCTTCAACCTGTTTTCTTGGCTGGTGCTTTTCCTAATAAACCGAACTCATGTTAACGAACTACCACAAAAGTTACACTAATAAAACACATGAATTACAAAGTAATACTAATGGTACTTGCGTTAATTTTCTAACCTAAAATTTAAAAAGACGGATTTTTCAAACTAATTAACAAGAATAAATAGAAAACGAACTTATTTTTCAAGATAAGTAACAAACAGTAGTAAAAATATGTATTTATTTTTTTACCAATATAAATATCAGCTGTTTCTAAAAACACTCCATAAGTTGGTCCATCGGTTTGTTTATTTGTACTTTTAGTAACACTATCAATATTTGGACCAGTACCTTCACGAAATAAACAAGTTGAAAGCTAAAATAAAATAAAAAAAATTACTAAATTTGATGATTACAATCTAAATCTGTTAAATAGTGCTTATAAAATAAGAAACTACCCTCATTTTTATTACATTTGTCACTTGTCAACCTTTCTGCTAATTTGCTTAAATTTTTTCGCACGTCAGAACATAGCCTCCTCGTTACCATGAAAGCAGTATATTTGTTTAAAATTTTCAATACTTGTTGTAATATCCTTTTTGCAACAATATGATTGTATATTGTCCACTGTACTTTATAAATTTACAATATAGTCAATTCTCAATTTTGTTTTTCTATTTTCATATTTTTACTTTATCAAGAGTTGTTATGCCAATAAAAATAACATACAATCAATAATTATAATGACCAATGTATTCAACTTTCTTATGGTATATGTTTATTGATAACAATGTTTACAACACTAATATTTACAATGAAGAAAAATACGAGAGGAATCTTTCTGGACGAACAAATGGTTCTTTTACAACAAGACATCTTATTTTAGAACACGTGAGACGTGCTGCATCATTGGTAAAACCTTGTGTTACAGTTGCTAATGTTTCATATCGAACGGTGAGATGCGTCAAACGAGGTAAACTAGTGCTTTTATCGAAGAGAAATTGTACGACGTAGTCAATATTTGCCCTCGTAAGATCGAAGTCGAATAAATGAGCAAAAGTAATAGAGGTAGACAAATGTTACTTATTTTGTTGTGAATACAAATTAGTAATGGATAATCTTTGGAGAAAAGGAAAATTTTGCGAGATGACTTGAAATAATTCATTTTCAAATGGACGTATATTTAACATTACCAACCTACGAACTTTACTGAAGGTACCACCTTGAAAACCATTGGTCATAAATATAAAATCGTTGAAGTGATATGGAAGTGAATAGACATGGCAGAAGTCTCTATTAAACGTGAGTTTCTCATCAGCGTACGAATGCACTTGTTGATACCCTCTTTCGAGGAAACTATTGAGAATATCGTTCTTCGATGGAAGATCAATTTCAATGCGGTCGTTGATAATATAAGTGTGTATACTAAAAATGAATTTGTTTAATCGTGGCATATTAATGAGAAAATCATTGTGTAATTGAGTGCCATCAATATAAGTCGTAACATTTCTTATTATCGAAAGAAGTAATGGAAAAATAAGATCGTTATAGAAATATGTATACCACTGCGATGTTAGTGTTAAACATTTCAACTTGGGAAGATTTTTCTAAAGAAAACGAACCAAACATTAAATGTCAAAGATAGATTTATTTATACTTACTGTATTATCTATATTCGATGATGAATCGCTAATTTCATCTATATCAATGATCAATATAGACAAATGTTGAAGGCGTCCATCAAGAAGATAAAGACAATCATCAAAAGTGCTTACATTAATTTTCAATTTAGTTAGAGTTGAAGATACACAACTTGCTGATGGTAGATTAGAAAATGAAATTTGTATGCGTTCAGTAAATGTCAAATCAATTAAGCATTTACTGATGGATAGTATCAATGCAAACATATTTCATCATTAATATCTATTACAAGATGTGTGATTTGACCAGTAAGAAGGCGAATAAGTATAGTATCGCCTTAAATGTACAAAATAAAAACACCTATAGTTCATGAAAACAAATAAAAATTTACAACTATACCTGTTAAATGTTGTATAAGCGTTTCTGATGGAAAATTGACTAGTGATAATGAATTAAGTTCTGAATAATAAATAGTACCAAGAATACATTCCATAGAAAGTGGGTCAACAGCGATTTTATTTTATTTTTGATGAATTCGAGGTAAGACTTGTGTACGAATTCGATCGAAAATTTGAGTATTTACTGGAGAAGTATTATAACGCAACGGTCTGACCGTTAAATCTAAATGATGAGTATAGAATGGATCGAGTACTAAACGATCACATCGTTGATTCACATTCACTAGTGAATAGAGCAGTTCGATCGTATGTAGTTCGTTAAATATGTAAAGTAATAACTCATCAGATAAATCGAATGTATTAATATCGTTGTTATTGAAAGTGCTCGTGTTCATATCTACTTGATATTTTTTCTTATATGATCAATTCCTTCCTCCACATATATATGACTTGAACTTTCTCATTGCCGTCAATCAGAATAATATTGATAGTCATGTTAGACAATGATGAATGACTATCATGATTTCCTTTCTGCCTAAAATGGTTTTTTTAATTGGCAAAGAAAATCGTTGATGTATTTTGTTTAAATCGAATTAAAAACTGTAAGAACATAAAAATGACTCGCATCCTAAATTGTGTTCATCTGAAAGTTTTCTCAACACTTAATTAATACGCATAAATTGAAAGAATAGAAATCTCATTTTTATTATTCTCAATCATAACTTTATTGTTTAATAGATCATTTTATATCATGATTAAAGATTATTTCGTTGAAAAAATAGAAAGCGTTTTCGTCCGTTTCATAAACTTAGTAAAATTGTTCCGTTGCATTTAGAAAGAATATTGGTTATCTTAGATTGGGTTCCTCGCTATCCTCAAATACAGTAAATGTTTTTCACGTTGTTTCTAGACTTAAATATAGTCACCATAATTTCTTTAATGAACATCTATTTCCGAGGATCAGTTTGCAGCTGTCGACATCAAAATATTTTTATATACAACATATAGAGACGAAAATATTACAACTAGACGCAAATAGATGTAACGTAATAAGAAGAAGATTCAGATTCGTTGAATAAACGAATAATCATAAATTGATCTTTTTGTCGAAGGAAAAAGAAAGCTTTATCTACAATTCTCATTGGTAATATTTATGTTGTTAATGTGAGGCGTATTTGTCCATTATCTGCATTTTAAAATTTTAAATCTAGGAATCAAATGTGAGACTCTTATTTTCACGGCTAATCTATCTAATTTAATACTAAAATATAATCTTAGAAGTTAACTAAATACTGTCGAGCTCAATGATATAATTGATATTTCTTTGGGAAATTTTCCTCTTCATTCACGCTTGTCATGATAAATGATTGGAAATGATAATACAATTTTAATCGCTTCTACTCCTAGAAACGGCAGTTAAAAGGCAAAACCGGTCGAGTGTATTATTCAAAATAGAAATCGACAATAAAAAGTTCACCGCAGATATTTAACACTATCCCATAGTTGCACTGTGTAGAAATGTGTTATAAAGAACTGCAGATATAGCATGATCGTTACTCTCCATAACCATGTTCGTTACACTAGAGCACATTCTCATTTCTAACTATTTCACCTAGATTAACGTTCTATATGGAAGAAGAGATGAGAAAATAAAACAGATAACTCGCGTCAGAGAACCATCAATTTATTTCTTTGAATGAAGTTGAGCATAAAATAGAAAAGTTTTGTTTTTCTAAAACAGCAAAATATAGACTGGATCAATGAGCGAACTGCATGGGCTCTTTCATATCGAAATTTATATTGAAGCACGATGGCAATTTTCTCATTAGAAAGATTGGCAAAACCAATTTTCAATGCCATTCAAAACAACTTCCAAATGCTAGGGAATTAAGCCAATGTTTACTATTCTGTGTCAGACGAAGATTAAAATGGAAAGTTCATGTTATATTGAACTATTTAGAAAAGGTGCTGTTATTTTCCAGTATAAAAATAAGAGTTTGAGTGTTGGTGAATATCTCAGCATATTAGCGCTAGTGAACTCTAAAGATATCCACACTCCTATCTTACATGACATGCTTTGAAAAAATAACCGTTAATTTAGTCGTTGCACTTGAGATTGTTTAAAAAGAGAAACTTTTACATTCTTTTATTATAAAGCATTCGATCTATCTTTGTATCGTCGAATTAGCGCCGACCAATTTTTTATTTCATATATGACATATATTGGATAGAGAGGAAAAAGATAGTGTCATCTTTTTTCATATTTCGTTCATTCCATAGTTAGTATAAATTTTAGAGCGATGCATCATTGTTTTCATGAATGATTAAAGTCACATAGATGAAATGAATGTGTTTATATCAATTAATGCTTTTCTAAATCATAATAGAATTTATGGAAGTAAAAATAAATATGAAACATCCATTAGTTCAATTGTCGGATTTACCTAATGAAATTCTTATAATTATCTTGAAAAAATTGTCCAAGGTCGAAATATTGTATTCATTGACCGGGGTGTGACGGCACCGTGTGTCGTCACGTGTCTTGTTTCTGATTTCGCGCGAGTTTCTCGCTATATGTTCTTTTTCTCTCTATCGTCTTCATCGCTGTTTTTTTGTCGCGTTTTGAAATTGAATTATGCTATGTTTGGCGCGTCTAGTTAGTTGATACATTTTGTTCTCTCTATGAGAGTGTCAGGGACGGCGCGAAGTAATAAAATTATAGGGGGGTTACTTGAAAACGGGAGGTTTTTTTTCAAAAATCGGAGGAAATCAAAAAAAATCTCTTCTATTTTCTTCAAATCGGAGTAAAATTGAAACAAAAATTTCGAAAGTTGGGGGGGGGGGGCACCCCCCAAACCCCCGACCGCCCCGACCCTGGTGAGTGTGAAAATTATTACAAGAGCTTAAAGATATATATATATATATATATATATATATAATACATTATTTGATTCTATCTAAAATATCAACTAATCAAAGAATCATTATTCATTTTTAATCTTAATAATTATATGAAACTAACATTGCCGAAATTAAGTAAACATCGCAGTGGCGCCGTGTGAGGAGGTGATCGGTACCCACAATCACAACCTTTGTATTGTTCGGCCTGGACAACTTGAATCAGTAAGAATGAAAACGATAGCCTTCTATTTCATTGCATCCACATAAAATCGGAAACGAGGTGTGAGGATGGATTTGGGTGTAGTATGATACATTGTGTAGATGTTGGTGTGCAAAGAAAAAAGACGACCATACCCACACCCTAATAACTTATGGTATTTAGTGTATGACGGATACTCGCTGTCAATAAAAACCTCGAGCTTCAAGTAAACACAGAAGCCTAATATTTTTAATGCTAGCTACACTTTCGATCCAAATCTCGGAAGTCAGTTTTGACGCCCGATTACCAACTATATTTCCTACCTTACCACGATAAGTAATAATGATGTCATGCGAAGAAATGTAGAAAAGATATACCGATTAATTTCGTCTATGCACGGCTGCTCGTCACCTTGTACACTCTTTGCTTAATCGAATAGCAAAATATTGGTCGTTTTTGTGGAATGAATCGGTCAGATTCTGCATATTATTACTTCCTCAAAATATATATTCTTGATGCTCTCATAATTACTGTTTTAGTTATTCTGCATTTATGGTAATAATCAGGGTTTATACCATCGGCTTGCATTATAAAGAAAGAAACAGAACTCTGATTGAATTTCAGTAGCTAGTTTTAAGTTTGATACTGGTGTTTACGCACAGTATTTCTAACAAAGCTTATATTAGTTTTCACTTTTACCACCTAAGATAGCCACGATTAGTAAAATGGTGCAAGCTTTCCAGTCAGGAAACCACAAATTTCTTCCACAGGATTGAATAAAATCTGACCTGTTTTATTCAATATATTATTGCATATAGTGATCTATTTATCATTTTTCTGTCCCACGTAAATGCTTCGTAAAGTATCGCTGATTAGAAATGCTCATGTATTTTAATAATTAACAAAACGGTCCGTTTTAAATATATACGTCATTCTTTCTCTTTAGATGCACCAACCAATCTACATGGTCCTCGGTGTTTTATCATTCTATGTGCAGTACGTATATTTATCTTCCTCATCCGCAAAACTTTTTCAATTCACTGAAGAAGCTCGAGCTGCTCTTTGTCCGTTTGTTGGCACCGAAGGAATGAAATGTTTTGATGATAGTCCTTTAAAACGTTCTGGCAGGACGTTTGATACAGGATATATGCAGTTACCACGCAGTGTCGGTATCAGTATTGATCGAAGCACGGGCCTACTCAAAGCACCAGCAGTCAAATTAACATATTTGCCTGCAGGTAGTCGTGTTTGGACCGATGGATATACGGGCGATATGTTTGATATGATCAACGAGGCAATACTTGGGCCAGCGAGCAGAGTAGTATCCGCTTACAATGCTGCCCGTGTTCAAATTTTTCAAAATGCATCACAGTTGAGTGCAGCATGGCAACAAACATTTGCTGATGGTAACGTTCGTGGTGGAGAATTAGCATGTCCACTTGACATTCTTGCATATGTCAATAGGTGAGTGTGCTATTTTACTGTACATAGCTGAACTGGATGCATAATACTTATTTTATCGGAGCGCTCCTTCTAGTTTTCACCATGTATAGATAGATATTTTGTTGATCAGTAATTAATATCATTATTTGATTCATTACTCATCAGTAAACAATTCCTTCTATGAAATCCGGATCTCCACGAACGATATGAACTATTTTTAAAGCAGAGTACATATCACAGTCGTCGAGTAAACGATTGTAGATGTATGTGAGTGATGATGAGCATATGACATGAAGAGTTCAGTTTTCAGGTGGTACCTGCATCTACTTGTAACTCGAAAAGTATTTTTCGTTTTTATTTGTCATCAGGAAACTTTGAAACAAAAACTAACATTATGCATTTCAGCGTTGTAGAAGGAAAACTTGAGATTCTGTGATGAAGTGATAGTGCATAACTCCTATATTTACGAGAAACAAGGAATCAGTGTCGCAACTCACGATATATATAACCTGATGAAATAGTGAAGGAGTGTTTATCTCAAGTGGTTCAAAGTATACATGTTTCATTCTACACATTGTCCTGCTGATTTCTTCCATGCACACTTAGTAAATCTAGTGAGCGATAGAAATTTCGAATCACTTCAGTGATCGGAATGGAAACTATGAACTGATAGTATGTAAAGAAACACAATTTTTTCTCATAAATCAAGACAACAAACTTAATTCCTTGCGGATAAATAACACTAGTACTTCTAGCTTTTTAAGAAATACAAGCTTCATTGCGCTCGCTTGTTTTGGCATCTCAAGAGTAGAAAGCTTTCAGTGCAATTTCTTCGAGATGAAAATCTAGAACTCATGGGTGCCATTCCGTTTGCATATCAAGATATTTTGCATTGAAACTTTTATTTTTATTTAGTTATTTTGGCCATGGTGAGGCTCTAGCACTTTCTCAGCGTCCTATTGGTCTCTATACAATGTCATTAAATGCCTCAACTGTGGAGCTTAATTCATTTGCGCTTCGTGCGCTGTCTCACTTAACAGCAATGTTTGATATAGACCTCTATGAAGATTTTATCGACGCTTGGGGTACTCATATTATTACTAAGTCACTTGTGGGTGGCATGATTGAGGAACGAGCTAAAGTAACACGATGCTTTCGTGCCGCTGATAATGGTATGTTCGCTCGGTGCATACCGTTCTGGGATAGACGTTTAATTAGTTCTAGTTGTGCCTATTATGCTGCTCAGACACGCGTGATTTCGAAACGCTTGCTTGGTGGCAACGTGCAAGTCGATCACGAGGACGAATGGAAAAGAACCTTGGCAGCTGGTCCGGCTCTCCTGCAGATTCTTGAAATGGTGCCTTGGTATGACTTTGTTACTGATGCGGCAGTAAAAAAAAATTTACATACAGTAATTCGATATCGCCTAAGAAATGTCGATAATCTTCAGGCACAAGCAGTTCGTCAAGCTGATGCACGTTTATCTCCATGTGTTTCAGGTACTATAACAATTATAAATTCATCGGATAAGTTCTTCAATAATTCATATCATAGCTTTACCATATGTTCTGTTAGTAATACAATTAGATTTTTTGGCATGCTAGTTTTTCTCCCTACATTGATTTAAGTTGAACCAGTATTAAATAAGATTGACTATTCCACTTGCAATATTTAAACAATAATTAGACATTGATCGTTGCACTGTAGCTCTCTTCGTTAAGTGTAACCTACTACATCTCCAAAGTTAATTTCACCTTTCATCGTAAACGTGAAAATTAGGTCTACCATATACCTTAGATAATGAGCTCTGCTTTATAAGTTCTTCATACTGCCTAAATTTAAACTGCCTCGCAATCGTTTGTAGGCTCGAACCTTGTTTCAATACTTATTCTTCGATTTCTGATCTACCTCTCTGAAATAGCTTCAGTCAAAAATGAAAATTATCATTCAGCAATACTTTGGGTTCTCGAGTTGAATTTTTCACAAACTGAAAGCTAATTTATGTTCGAAATTCTATATCTATTAGGGTTGAGTTGAAACAATATTTGACTGCACGAAAAGTTGAAAGAAGCTTAAGAGACTAGTCTTATCCTTGCAATAAAATCCTATCGATTGAAAAATGCATCAAGTGCTACAATTCACCATTTTACAAGTGAATTAAATTTTCACACGGCCCCAAACGACAACCATTGGGAGAAATTCCGAGCTCTAATTTTCAGACTAACATATATGTTCATTAATCTATATATCTGATCTGACTGCTTAAAATAATTTCAATTCACAAAATGGTTTTTTTCGAAAAGACTCTGAGAGGAGACTTTGACAATAAATTACCAATATTGTTTTTGAGCTGAAATATACTTTCCACAATTGAAAGCATCGGCTGTAGCGAAAGATCTTTGTTTTGAATTTTTGAGGGCGAAAAATATTACTCTGAACTGATTGAAGTGCAAATATTGAGAGAAACTATATCTTATAACAGATTTTATTCATCTTCTTATTTAAGCACTTTTTCATGGATTTGCACTTAGGGAAAATTCTTCCATTTCCTGTGTGATCACGTTTTCTTATTGAAAAAATCTTCGTATTATTTCAGTTCCTCTCAGTTCGGCTTATATCAAGTTTAACTCTCTTTGGAAAAAGAACGGCATCACTGTGGCTGGAGGGAATGGAGCAGGATCTTCGATAAATCAACTCGACGGGGCACAAGGTTTGTTTATTGATGATGATCAAACTCTTTATATCGCGGATTACGGTAATCACCGCATTGTTGAATGGAAAGCTGGAGCGACTTGTGGCAGAGTTGTAGCTGGTGGAAACGGACGAGGGTCTAGAGCTGACCAACTAAATCATGCACATGATGTGATTGTCGATAAAGTGAGAGATTGCCTTTTCATTGCTGACTGGTTAAACCAACGTGTTGTTCGGTGGCCTCTCCGAGGTGCAACGATTGGGGAAGTAATCATTAATGACGGAGCCGCCACATATTTGGCGATGGACGAACAGGGTTTTCTCTATGTCACAAACTGGCTGGGACATGAAGTGAAACGATGGCTAGTCGGAGAAACCCAGGGAACGGTAGTGGCAGGTGGGAATGGGATTGGAAGTCGCCTCAATCAGCTCAATAGTGCGAGAAAAGTCTTCGTCGATCGAGATCGCTCAGTTTATGTGTCAGATTGGTTCAATCATCGTGTCATGAAGTGGGTAGAAGGGGCGAAAGAAGGAATCGTGGTGGCTGGTGGCCGTGGCATGGGAAATTCCCTTTCTCAACTCAATTTTCCGGAGGGGGTCATCGTCGATCAGTTTGGAACTGTTTATGTTGCGGATAGATATAATCATCGAATAATGCGCTGGCCGAAAGGAGCAACAGAAGGAGAAATTCTTGTTGGCGGAAACGGCGCTGGTTCTACATCAAGTCAACTCAATGAGCCAATCGGTTTGTTTTTCGATCGACATGGAAATCTATTTGTAAACGAGGCTGCAAATCACCGAGTGCAAAAGTTTGAGATATATTGACCATTATGCTCGTACGTACAAGCAACTTTGCTTTTCCTTCAATTATTTTGCTTTTCTTTGAAATAACTATGTTAACTCTATTCACGTCTTATGACAATATGATATATTTACGGGATACGGGTGTCCTAAACGACATTGTTCGCACACTCACACCCATCCACGAAACATAATTGGACTTCAGTTTCAAAATTGACCGTGTATACCTCTCTGGAAAAATACTCGCCTTACTAGCAGATCCTCTCTTCAATATTTTTTAGCATATTTACCAAAAATTCTTAAAGATTATCCAAAATATTTACAAGATTTAAAAGAAATAGGAAGTTAATTGACGAGGAATAAAAATTTATTTCATTTATAATCCTCGTAATTACAGATATTGGCTCAAGATTAGATTTGTGTCCAAATTATTTTCATCTTCTCCATTTATTAAACATGATTTAATTCCACAAAAAGTAGCAAGTAAAGATGAACAAGTTTTGTGTTAACGGAGATGTAAATAGATAAGTAATAAATGAGTATAGCACTGCGATGAAAATCATATTTTTATTTTCTTGCGGGTGGATGTGGTTTTTTTCTGTGAGCTACACCCACAAACCGACACCTTGATTGCGTATTTTATTCTTTCAGTTAGTTAGGAAGCAAAATAACAGCAGATATATGTTATTAGACAAGGTGTTCAAGACCTGTCATAGTCTTAAGATTTATTCTACCGCCTAGCATTAACTTCCTTTCTTTGACTTAGATAAATGACTATCAAATATGTCAATTCTTGTCTTCTTTTTTTTTAACATGGGTAAAAAAGAAATCTCAGTGGTGAATTTTCACGTTCATGATGGTGGAGTTCGTTCTATATATATACAGTACTCTGAGAAAACATGTAGAATTTATATCTTAAATACTATCTCAGAGAAAAAAAAATGAAAACTGTGTATTCTTCATTTTACTTGCGTGCTAGTACTAATCATTATAGAATCCAAATCATCAGATTCACCCTGAAACCATCTATCTGTTTGATTCTTTATTTAGGCGTATTTTTTTCACACAAAACAAAAAACTTTCGTGGACTCAAATATTTATTCCAATGAATTTCAGGATTAGTTGAATAACGGCAGCTGTGAATTCAGCTATGATTAAAACATAAAATTGCCGATGAATCAGGCAATCAATCGATAGTTTTTATTAAATATACGTTTTGTACTTTCAAAAAAAAGTTAATTAATATTTTCTTTTTTTTCAATTGATATTGGACCAAATTATTTCGCAATCTACATATGAAATACCGAATAGTGTGTAACGATTTGTCAAAATACCAACAAATGCTTTTTCATTTCTTAAAATAAATTTCAAAACGGTTTAAAATTCCATGCGTTTTCTTTTAATTATTATATGTAAAATATGTATTGTATTCATGATAACAAGAATAATAGTAGCCAACAAAAAAAATACATCAGTAGCACAAAAACGAACATTTAGCACTAAGAGAAAGAACAATGATAAACCGAAGAATACCCATTAGAGATATTGGATTTTTCGTTTCGTTTCGTTTCAATATTTGAAAGACTTATTATCTCAATTGTACTATACAACTAGATAGAATATATATGGGAGAAGTTGAAGAAATATTTCAAATATACATTTATCATCACACCATTTGTTGAGAAAAAGAAAAAATATTAAACAAACAATTCATTCAACTATCTACATGTTTGAAAGTGAAATACAATAACACATAAAGAATGAAAAATTAAATTTCAATTATAGAAGTCAATAAGTAAGCGTAAGAGAAAACAAGAATCATCTAGTATAGACATAAGTAATCGATTTCTGGAATAATTATAAGTTTATAATGCTTAATAAATAAGAAAGAATAGATCGAAGCGTGTCTATACATAATTTCGATCTTTCAATATAGATGAAGCTAATAAACGAGGAGTTGTTCCATTATCATCAGGAGGATATCGAGCATTTTCACGATCGATTGCTTTTGTTCGAAGATCGGTCGTTTTCAATCGACCTATAAATATTAAAAAAATCAATTAGACTGGGTCTCAGTTTTGTTTTTAAATAGTAAAGCTCTAATTTGATAAAGCAGTTAGTATGTTTATATGGCAACCGAAGAATGCTGATGAGCACATTATGTCACTTACCAACGACGTCAGCATACAACTGGTACGTCGCGGCTTAATGATGCTGCAGAAACAAATAGAAAAATAAATCAGCATGAGCAATAAAAATCAATAAGTATTCAATGTATCCTTGGGGGGAAAAAGCATAGGCACCTTCTCCCATAGATATAATGTCACATGTTAAACAACAAGCATGAGTGAGCCGGCAAAGAAAAAACACAAGTCGAATGAAAAACGTGACAAAAGCATAACGAAAATTAGAAAGGCATGGACGAATTTGTAGCGAATATTCTACCGTAGTAGATCGAGGATCTCTTGCTGGTATAGGTGGAGGTATTCGATTATGTGTTGGCCGTATGCCACCACGAGATGAAGGGGGTATTGGTGGTGGTGGTGGTGAACGAGTATGATTGGGTCGAACATCACCACGACCCACTGGTTGTGATAATTGATGAGCTCGATTCGCATTTAATTCATGTAATACTCCAGTAAATGCTTCACCTTCTGAATATTTATGTATTACAAAAAATAAAATGTGGTCAACGGGTAAAAAAAAATAGATCTTTATTTAGAACCATGAGCTTACCTGGTGGTCGACGAACTCGTCTTGGTTGTGATGTCATGTTAGCATCTTTGAGAACTGACATAAGATTTGATACAACATCAGTATCTTCATCACCTATGAAAGATCAATTGTAAAGAGAAAAAATGATGTGTGTGTGGGAAAGTATTTGTTTACTTGGCTTAAAGAATGTTTTGGGTTCTGCTTTGAGTTCAGTACGATGTTTCTTTCGTATATCATCAACTAGTTGTTTCGACATTTGTGCACGTTTAGCTTTTTCATCGTGTTCACGCCATAAACGATTTTCTTGTAAACATGTTAGAAATACCGTACAAAATGATTTTACATCCGTAAAAAAGTCATTCAATGGACATTTTTTTGGGTCAATGGCTAAATAATCGCATAGATCTTGATAGGCACTCGTCATTTTAACACTTAATGCATCAAGTCTTTCAATATCATCTCGTGCTGCTTTAACAAAACCCTAAATAGACAAATTATATATGATGTATGATTTGATTTTTCATATATTTGATTTACTTCTAATGATTGAGCAAAACGATCACCTGGTATTAAATCTGTTGTAGCATTTTTAGCATTATCTATATCTGTTTGTGCACTATTTATACGTGACTTTATTTCGTTTAATACTCGTTGTAATTCATTCGTATCAACTACAAACAAAAAAATCAATGAACAACCTATGATTAATTATATATTTTACCTTTCGATGCTACTTCAGCAACACCTTGAAATTCATCGCCAAATTGTAACAAATCCGGATGATCTTTTTCAATTTCTTGTAGAATAAAATGTAATAATGTTCGTTTGCCATCATTAGCTTTTGTTGAATGTAACTATTTGAATATAAACAATATTTTGCAAAAATAAAAATCAAAGAGATTGTTTTTTACTTTGGGAAGAAAACTGATATCGAAACCATAAATCGGTTCATATGTTTTACCACTTGAATTCATGTAATTACCAATTGTTAATACAAGTTCGATTAATTTTGGAAAGCGTTTCGAACGACGAACTGTTTCACAGGCTTGTCGTGCAGCAACATAATTCTATGGAGAAAAAAAACAATACGTACCATAAGAAAATGACTCTTGTGAATAGGAAGCGACTATGTGCGTACCTTTTCTGTTTCTTCAAGTGATTCTTTGTATTGACTTTTAAATAGAAGTATTTTAATACGTTGATGTAAACGTTTAATATCACTAACCTATTTGCAAGATATAAAACTTTCAATACATATTTGTAACTATGAAATTTGAACTTACAGCACAAAAATACTGTTCAGCATCAGGTAACTCATTGATGTCATTTTTTAATTCTGAAAGTTTTTTCAATTCTTCTGGAGTAGGTAAAGATTTATCTAATTGAGCAAGTAGATCACTTGTTAAATATTGACTATCACATGCAAGAAGCCATTGGCGAAATTGTTGTGGAGTTGATTTCAATTGACTAAACATAATGGCTGCAAAGAATAAAAATAGATGAATGAAATAATAAAACAAAAATTATCGAACCAAAATTTTGACCAGCACGTGCATCAAGTACACGAAATTCTTTTGTTTTTTTCGTCGTTGTTGTTGTTGATGATGATTCAGTATCGCTATCAGTAAGATTTTTTGCTGTTAAATGAGAAAAGCTTTTATTGCAATAAATAGTGAAATCAATCGGATATTAACATACCAGGAGCTGATTTTGTAGCAAAATTATCTTTAATTGTTGTAAAAAATGCTTTATTTTGAAAATTTTTTTCATCGATGTTCGCCCATATGGACTCTTTCTTGATCGATTGTGGATTAATTTTATTCCACGCCACTTTTTTCACAGCTTCACCGACAACATATTTTTGTTTCTTGGGTAAATATTCAGGAATTGGTGGTGGACCTCAAATTAGTTTAAAAAAACAAAGCTATTGATTAATAAATTCAAAACAAATTTCTATATACCAAGTGGAGGAGCATTCATGTTCATCATCGGTGGGGGTGGTGGACCTCCACTACCAGCCATTCCAGGAAATGGTGGTGGAGGAGGTGGGCCTCCACCAGCCGTCATTCCTGGAAATGGTGGGGGTGGTGGTGGACCTCCACCAGTCGTCATTCCTGGAAATGGTGGCGGTGGTGGTGGACCTCCACTAGTCGTCATTCCTGGAAATGGTGGCGGTGGTGGTGGACCTCCACTAGTCGTCATTCCTGGAAATGGTGGCGGTGGTGGTGGAGCTCCACTGCCTGTCATTTCAAGAACTGGTGGAGGTGGCGGTGCCGGCGGTGGTATGCCTCCTTCTATCATTGTTGAATTTGCTGATGATACAAGACCTGGAAAAATGCTTTATTTGGAGTTTTTTTCTTTTCGATACGTATACAATCAGAATAACAAAACACACAAGCAAGAGCACAAGAAGCAAAAAGGCACACGATTTTATCTGACCTGGCATAGGAGGAGGTGGTGCAGGTATATTTCCTGTAGATATATGTATATATTTGTTATAGAATCATTCTTTTACTAACAGCAAACGTATTTCTGTACTGTTAATTTTAAATAAATTACCTGGTGGTGGAGGAGGTGGCATTAAAGTGCCTGGCAATGGAGGGGGAGGTGGAACATTTCCAAATCCAGGAGGCATCGGCGGTGGTGGTGGCGGCGGTGGCATATGTCCCATTGATGTTGAAAGAGGCGGCGGTGGTGGAATGTTACTAGCAGATCCAATATTCAATGCTATATCTCCAAAAATATCAGCGTATTGTGTTTTTAAATTCATTGCTGTTTGTACATCAACCTATTCAAATAGAAGAAATCTATTTTCTTGTTATTCGCTTGTTGTTTTAATTCATTACTTTGCTAAGAACAGTTTCAAGTGCTTTACTTAATTTTTCTCTTGTTTGTTCAAGATGTTCCACGCGTCCTTTCATTAAATTGATTTGAATTTCATTTTCTGTTACAGCTAAATTATTTACAGCATTTCCTGCCATTTGTGATAAATCATGTAATGAACCATTACGTATAGATTGCATATGATCAGTTAATCCTAAACCTGAATCACCAATAGATTCACTGTCCATTGAATACGTATCAAAATCGGGATCACATGCAGATTTTGAAAAAACAATACGTGTAATACATTCATCAATTAAACGAAGATAAGAAAAGCTACAAAAGAAAACAGGAAATGGAATTATTTTTTAAATTTCAAACGTAAATCAACTCTTGAAACTAACCGAATCGCTGGGTCATCTCGAATACAAATGAGTCGATTAATAATACTTGCAAGTATAGGTTCTGACGACGTATTTTTTACTAAGCTATTAAAATAATCAAAACAAGCTTGAAGATCACTACAGATAGGAATAAAAAGAATACATTTTTGTTAATATGTAAAATATAACTCTGAATATTTCTCACGCCCATGAATTTGATATAGATTCAAGTTTAATATGCATTGATTGATAGTCATCATCAATATGACTAAGAAATAAATTAATTTGTGCCACTAGATTATCTGTTTGTCTTGGATCTTCACATTCACCAATTCGTTTTTGTAATTGCTATTCAAAGAAAATTTTAAAATAGAATCGAAATTTTATCTTTTATTTTACCTCAAAACGTGCTTTAAAACCAGATCGGAATAATTCACTACGCAAATGATATCGATGTTCTGTCGATAATGTTACAAATATGGCATTGATACACATTAAAAAACTACTCTGCAATAGACGACAACAAATAATAAAAAATAAATAAAATTCATTTGGTTTACATACAGCTACTTCGATTGTTCCATTGAGTTCACGAATAAGACATTCAAATCGTTCATGGCCACGACGCCACTTCTGAACAGATTTTGAAAGAAGTTGAACTATATTTTGACCATTTGAGGGACTAAAATTAAAATTAATATTGAATCAAGACAAGAATTCCATGTTAAACTTACTTATTTTCGTTAGGCATAGCCAATGCAAATAGAAGAATGGCACATGTAAGTTTCGTTTTATTTGAACGTTCATCATTTTCCAAAGTTAAAATATTTAACACATCAATAGTAATTTCAGCTATATCTTTTGCAAGCAATTCTTTCAATGAATTGAAATTCCAACCAAGATTAAGATAATTTTTAAATGCTTCAATACCAGCACTTAATATTTCATGTAAAGTATTTTGTTTATCACGGCGTTCATCATGATCACGATTAACTTTTCTATTTAAAAAACGGCAATATTGATTTAGTTTTGATATAAAATCAAATTAACATACTCTCGTGTATATTGAATTCTATTGATACACGCTTGCATCGCTTTTATCATTGCATTCGGACCATTATAATTTTCATTGAATACTTTACTCCATTTTAAACCGTATTTTTTCAATGAAAATGCGACACGTTCAAATGTTTCTTTACTATTTTTTGAATAAATATTTTCAATAGTGATATTATTTAAAGATTGTATTTGATAGTCAGGTGATTTTGGACCACTCATTTCATTCTAGACATTCAATATTCTTGTTTTGTTCTTCCTAAAGCAATTTTTAACTTACAGTAGCAAGTTTATAATGTGAAATGAGCATTTCTCTCATATGTGCTGTTGTTGTTTGTTCAAACATTTTCTTTTTCGTTTCATTACCTTCGAATAAATCATCCTTAAATATTAAAATTCGGCATATTATCAATAAGAATGAAACAAACTCAAATACGAACCATGACAGATTTAAAACGTTCTCGTACTTCATCATCGTTAAGTGAACTAACATCAAGATCATTCGATGATGAAGCTCCCATTGCTTGACTTGCACCATGAGATGTAAGTGTGCTATCTTTGGTTACATTTAAATGATTTCCTTTGCTTGAATTTGTGACATGACTACCAGGATTCATTCCGGGTGGCAGTGGGGAACGTGTTTTGCTTTGTGATTTTCTCATGGACTTCTAAATGCAATTCAGTTCTATTTCTGCAGCAAAAAAACACTTTTCTCTCTTAGATGACCGATACTGCAGTGCAAGATTCAAATCTTCTAAGACTTCTGTGGTACAGCTTAGTGAGCTATTTTTGTCAGTGTTCTTAACCTGGAATAAAATACATAAAAAAACTTCTATGTTGTTTGGTTTCGATTTAATGTCACACACTTGTAGAAAAATATTTGCAGACTTGCACAGAACGAAAAACATCATGAGGAAGAGCGCATGAAGGATTAACCTTTTTTTCATAGGTAACTTGTTTTGTTTATTCAAAGATTGAAAAACTAATAAGGAAAAAATTTTTTTTTTGGACAGTTTAAATTGTATTCGTCTTATTTTCTCCTATTAGTTGAATACAGTAAACAAAGAATGTTATTTATACATGCTTTTGGATTGAAAAGAATCTATATCATTCTTAATGTAAATTTAATGCTAAAATATGTACGAATAAGAGAATGTTTTTATAAGAAAAAATAAAATAGCGTAAAATCCAATAAAAATTATTCTCAAGTTATTTTTTTCTCAGTAATAATAAATAATTTATATAAAACGTACCATAAATATGGATGACAACGTTCCACCCTACAGTATCAAAAAATAAAAATTTTAATATCTTTAAAATTACATCGAATTGTTGCTGTTCTTACTGCACTGCCTTTTGTCTTATTCTTGCTTTCTTTCGTCTCACGTTCTTGATTTCCATCATCACTCATTATTATTTATAATCGGATACAATTTTTAAAATACTAAATATCTTGTCTAGAAAAAGAAGAAGATATGTTCAATTGCTTTATGATATAATTGATTTTTTTATTAAATTTCCATAAACTTTTGCATTCTCTCGATTTTGATGTTTTACTATCATTGTACATAAACGATCGTGTTCATTCTGTCGCCTTTGCTTTAAATAGGTATTGTTCGTTGATTTTATATTAGGCTTAATGCAACGATGAGATTTCATAGTGTGACGATGAATTCGATCAATACGTTCCTTTGATTGTTGAATAAAGGAAGATTTTCGTTGTTGAAATGCATCTTGTAATGATGGTATATCGTTACTTTTACTATTCAATGAATTTAAAGGTAAAAAAAAGTTTAATGATGAAGATTTCTTTTGTGGTTGTTTAATTATTTGTTGAATCTGTTCTAATAAAAATGCTTGTCTTTGTTGACAAACAAGCAATTCATCATATAATTTACGCAGTATAGATGTTTGATCAATTGACTTTGAAAATGTCTGAATAGAAAACAACATCGATTTTTGTTTTGTTTCAATAATAGCTTCAAGACATATTGTAAATAGGATTATTGTGAACTGACAGAGTATTCTCGTTAGTATTGTGTCAAAAACAAGAGTTTTTTTTTCACAGAATTATGTCGAATACATTGATTGTAGTCAATTGAGAGAGAAACGAAAAAGACAAACGTAATTCAATTTTTTCCTTCTTCTGTTGTACTTGAAAGGTCTTCCGTAACATTTGTGAATGTGAAAAGAGGATCAATAAGAAGCTTTTTTTTGTTGAAGTAAAATGAAATTGCCTCGAGCATGAAATTTATTATTTTAGTAACAAATTGTAATCACTTACAGATCGGTTCATTGCAATTTCATCGACTAGAGAATTTTCCTCATTTGCCTTCATAGTTTGTTTGTTCATAGATAATACTGAATACAGAGTTGCGTTGTCGTTATTTTGAAATGCCACCATTGATGATGTTTGTTCAAGGACTAAACAATTAAAGTAATAAACAAAAAATAAAACGAAATTCTGGTAGACGTTAAAAGTATTTAGCTTGTAGATTTTCGAAAGTAGATAATCACTTGCAAACAGTTTAAGAGAACGTGGGAGATTAATTCTAATAAGATTTTATTTCTGCATTGATTTTTAGAGTAGAACAGGTAGATTTGTTTTTTAAAAACTATATTATTCAACCAGTTCGATGATGTCATCAGCGCTTTTTCGTCAATGTTATTCATTCTATGACTCAAATAATACCTGTAGGTTGGTGATCAGTTATTGCGTGAAATTTAGATTGTTTTGATACCGTAGACGATGAATTTATGTGATCATGTTCATCAGACTGTAATTGAATATTATCTGTTGAAGTTCGCAATTTCTGTTGGATGACAAAGAGAAAAAAATCTTTTGTGTTTTTCTTTTGTTTCTAATCTCACAGCTTCAAGTTGTTGCGTAACAAGTTCCCAATCGATATTATCATCTTCTGTAGTGTGACTACTCGACGATAAACTATGAGAATTTGAATCGTAAAGCGAATGTGGTTTATTAACAGCATGCATTGATGTTAATGATTTATTTACGCATATTAATGGTTGTGATACGAACGAAAGAGAAGTAAAATTGTTTTTTACTTTTGTAGCCATACGATCTCTGTGAGTTTGAGTCATTTCTAAAACAAGAAAAAACAAGAAAGGTAAACCGACAATGAAGCCTTGCGTAGGAGCTAAGAAAAAAAGGTATTAATAAAAAGATTAGTTATGAATGATCTGAATTTAATCATAAATCATCATTATTTGTAACGTTGAAGCGGAGAAGACCTTTTCATTTTACGTACTTGTATCGGTGTATCTAAGTCCTTATTATGTGTAAATAAAAAACAAAATTACACTTAATTGTCAAGGTATAGTTAACTTATCTCAAACTATCTGTCGAAATAAAACACGAGAAGAATGAAAAGAAAAAGAAAAGTTTTGCCATTTCTTTTTCTTTTTGTCGATTCGATTTCGATTCATCAAGGCTGAGTCAAACAAAAGATAGTGTGAATCATTCATGGCTCACGTTTCAATTCAATTCAAAACGCCAAGCGAGAGAGAGTGCAGTGCACAGAAAAAAGTAAAAATAATTCACACTAGATGGCGTTAGAATGCTGTAAATGAAATTAATGAATCAATACTACGTAGGCATGTTTGAAGTGTGATGAATAACAAAAAAGACCTGTTTTCAAAATTGATGATTTAAAATCTGAAGAACTATCACAGTAGTTTAGTTCAAAACACAACTTATGAGGACATCAAATTTAACGTTTTCATCTTCACTTAGAGTAACGGTTTTGAGTTACTTGTAGTTTATTCTTTCATATATTATGGAACGATTACAACGAAAAAGGGAGGAAAATGATAGGAGAAGAAGATTGAGTCCAGAATGACTGATGAACAACAGTTGAACAAGAGTATGTATATGTGTACGCGGAAGAGAGCGACAGAGAAAAACGAAAGATAGAGAATAATGATAACGAGAGGCACTGCTCCCCGCGATGCGTATATAACAAATGAATCCATCACACTTAGCATTTGCGTTTATATTTCAAACAAAAGATAAGATATTCTTTTATTTTTTTCGATCCCTACATTTAAAACCTAGTGTGACTCAGAAAAGTAGAATAACTTGTTGCATAAATAGATTGTATCAGATGAAAGTACTTATTTAAACACCTAGTTTAAAACAAATAATGAGACATTTTTGGATGATTCACCCGAAATCCTTAAAATGCTGTGAAGCAGTCTGTTTTCTTTTTTGTTACATATTTGAGTACATTACAACATGACATTAATGAGTAGTCTTTATTTTTGTTATATTAGTATTTGATTCAATTTTTTTTTATTTTAAAATTCATCAAAATCGGTAAAATAATTCAAGTTATGATTTGAATTGAATGTTTTTTTTTTAAAATGTTAATGTAAGCCTTTTCCATTGTATATTATTAATACTAATATCAACAACAATTACATCAGAATTATTTTCTTGTGAAAACATTAAAATACGTTGAGCCATTAAATATTTTCCTACTTCAATCTAGAATTTATATATTCATCGTAATAGATATATCGAAATTCAAAACAAATTCTTACCTTATCAAATATAATTTTATTTGAATTTAAAAATCGGATATCATTAGATGCTGGAAATAAAAATTCTAATTTAGAAATTTGATAATATTTTGCTTGAACACATAAATTTATATGTAAAGTATTCACAATTCTTTCAAAATGCCAAAAACATGTGTAAGGCGATTGAATAAGATCGTATAGATGATTTTGAATTTTATCATTTGAAAAATGTTGCCAATCAATTGGTAAATTAAGCTGTTTATTCTATTCGAAATAAAAATAGCATTACTAAAAAGATAATAGGAGTTGAAAAATTCATAAGAAGTCTTCTTAGCTAAGTTTAATAGTCACTTTATACTTCAATAGTTTTTCTATCTTCTGACAAAATACTTCACCGAAGCTCTACATTAGAGGGCTGCAGGGTGCAGGATTTTTATAACCTGTAACATGCCCTGTAATTTTTTTGTAATCTGATGCTGCCCTGCCCTAACGCTTTCTATTGTAACCTGTCCTGCCCTGCTCTGCTATTTTTAAAATAGAGGAATATCCAAAATTTCCTATCAGTATTTATAATATATTTAATTATCTGTACTTCAAATTTGAATCGGATAAAAATAACGCTTAGTTTCTTCAAGATTTCTAATAGAAAAATATCGAATAAACAAAACTAGCTGCAATCTATCATAGCCGATCATTTTTTATATTATGAGTGCTTTAGTCCCGGTAAATTCATCTTTCTTCATGTAGAATTTTTTCAAAAGATACCGGAAATGTCGGTTGTTCAAAATTAGTCTCAGGTTAACAGGTTACGATATGGACAACCTGTACCCTGCCCTGTAAAGATTTCATAACCTGGCCCAGCCCTGTCAGGCCAGGGCAGGCCAGGTTACGTGCACCCCTGCAGAGCACTATTCTACATATGATCACATGAAAATCTATTCATTCTTTCAAAAGTAAGAATTAATTGATTAGAAATGTGCGCTTCTCAGAAAAGCTATTTCGGTTTCGAATTTTGTTTTGAGTTCGCTGAGAATGTAATCTTTAATTTGTCTTACCGAATCAGTTGTTCTATAATGAATACATAACGGTAATTGTGTTCGAATATCAGTAATTAATTGATTTAAATCAGAGGGAAATGCATTCAACTTTATTTTGTCTCGCTTTAATAATACTAAAGATGATTCTGATGGTTTTACTGTACTGTTTTGAAATATAGCGCCTTCAGATAGATGATTATCAATGGTACAACACATGAGATATAATAAATCACTGAAATCAAATAAATCAAATGAGATCATGAGAACGAAAATGAGATCTTACTCTTCATCATTTTGTATATCATTGATTTCAAATGTAACTGATGCAATATAATCAAGACGAAGTTCAACAATATTTTTTCGATAATATCCACTTGTGTTTGATGATTCATTTGAATAATTTAAACGTAATTCAATAGTCAAACATTCAAGATTGACCGTTGATCGATCCTGTCGAGAAAGACAACGATTATAAATTTCTGTAAGATCTATTTTTGGTTTTATGCTGTTGGAAATCAATATTGGTAAATCGAATTCGGAGATTTTGATATACTCTAAATAAATAAGTCAATCATTGCCTATATTTTTCTATTCTTACAAACCTGTCATATTGAAACCATATGCAAAAACTTGAATTTCCAAACTATCAACATCACATACTAACGAAGAATTGATTAATCCAAGTGTTACAAATAATCTATTATCGAAATAAAAATCAATTTCACCTAGTCAAAATCTTCCTACATACTCTTCACCTCGATGAACTTGAGCATTACATATTGTTGATTTATCTATAAGTTCGATTTTAGTATCATTAACTAAAAGATATTCAACATCAAGAATTGGTAGTTCATCGACTACATCAATTGAACATAGACATTGGCGAATCGTTGGAAAATTTCCAAAACGAAATACTTGATTTGTTGACCAAATATGATAACGCAGACCTAGTTAAGCAAACAAAAGAAGTAATTAGATTAGAACAGAAAATCGAACTCTTTTATTTAACCTAGAATACGAAGTTGACCAACTTCTTTTGGTATACAATCGATTGATAAACATTTAGTTGTACGTGGTGGTATACGATATGTTGTATCAAGAGTAGTTAATAATTCATTTTCAGTTATAAAATCTAATTGATCAATAATCATTGCTGCTGGCAAATAGTTTTCTACGACAAGTCCTATTTGTGCACGTTCATTTTTTACCCAATAAAAGTCTTTAAAAAAACGAAAATAATGCAACAAAAAAAGAAATATGTAATAAATCAATAGAAATATCATACCTACTTTCCGATGCAGCGACTGTTGTTGAGCAGGTACAGCACGTTTGGCATGATAGATAAATATATTATTTTTTGGTTCAGCTTTCCATACTTTTAATTGATTCGACAATGGCATTAAATCAAGAGATCTTTTCAACGAGAAAATAAACTAATCAGCAAACAACAATTGAAATAATTTACTTCAATCGAGGAATACTGCAATAACCACAAGAGATAGATTGATCACTTGCTTTTAAAAACGATAGAAGGGCTTCCACTTCAGCATCAGTCATATTGTCAAGTAAACATTCAATTGCAAAATGAACGTTCCTAAAAAATATCAATCGTAAATCTTAAAATTGCCCTACACTTGTGAACTTTCCCTATTGGATAAAGTTTACAAATCAGACCTACTGCATTCATTTCTATTTTATAGAGAAAAAAGTCTACGATTTGTTTTTTTCGCGATTTTAAATTAGATCCATTTAGAAATAAGTCACAAAAGAATAGAAAGCAAAAGACAAACTCGATAATTGTTGTAAAATCATTTTTCTGAAGGCTAATTTGAATGGATTCATTTAGGATTGTTTTTTGTATCAATGGAAAAATCGATTGATTATCTAAACAAATCAGAGTGAAACTTACGATAAAAAAGAATCATAAGCTTACCATCAATACCATAACCTTTACGAGCTTCTTTAATCAATCTATCAAATAAATTTATTTCCTCGTGATACGATTCTTCTTCATTTAATAATCTTAAGCCTGAAAAAGCTGCCGATCGATAATATAGCGCACTTTTCCGTTTGAAACCAATAGATTCATAGGATTCGGCGAGATAGGTATTCAGATAGATCTAAAATATGAATTTCTACATTCACTGACACAGAAGAAAAAAAACTTGAAAATATCGATTTCTATCTTACACTATCAATATGTTCTTCTAAATATGAACCTAATATATTAATTCGATCAATATATTGAATAATGTCATCATGATGTTTCTACGAAATAAAATCGATAGGAACAACAATGAAAATTAACTCAGTAAATAAATACTTTAACATCGATTTGTTCTTGCAATAAAGTACACCAACGTAGACATACATCAAGTTCAAGTTGAAATTCCATTTTATTAAATAATAAACGATTAGCAGTGCTGTACATTTGTATCGCCATTTCAATTTTAGGCTGTAAATTTAATGGTGTATTTGATCGATTTAGATATTTTTCCACTGGTATTTCTAATTTTCAAGAGAAGAAAAATTTTGCCGAACTAAGAAGAAACAAACACCAGAAATCTCACTTCTAGTCAAGGAAATTTGTTTGAAAAATGATATTGTTTTTTGCATGTGACGCTTTGGTTTGTGCGTTGATAAATAACTTGCTGCTACACGCGCTTCTAATGCAGCTAAACAGATATCAAGAAGAAGAAAAATATTCTATTTTTTAATTATTTTGATTTCTCAATAAAAACCTGCAAGCCATATAGTATCATTTTGAGTTTTAAGCGCTTCAGCGGCACGGTGATAATCTTGCTGGGCTTTTTCCATCGCACCAAATAGTAAACAACAATCGCCTTTGCGTTTTATTGTTCGCGCTTCGATGATTTTTTTCGATAATCTAAATTAAAACATGTGTTGGTCGAAGTTCAATTTCTTGTGGAATATCTTACTTAGTTTTTAATGATTCATTATTTAGAATAAGACTAGCTTTTAAATATTGATTGAACACTATTTTCATTATGCGCATATCGAATTCATTTAATACAGATGTGTACATACGATCATGAACAAGTCCCTTAGAATGTTTACTTTGATTTTCAAGTAGAGTACAATCTTTTTCAGAATTTATCATTAAACGAATATCAGCGAACTGTGAATCAATTGAAGATATTAATGTATCGAATCCTTTGGAATCTAATGTAGATTTCGATAGATTAGTTTCTAAACGATGCAATGCTCGTGTTAGATCACTATCAAATGAATCGAACAAATTTGTTGCTGTTATTGTTTTAGATTTGAATAGTGGTGGTCTAGGTTTTTTTACTGTTTGATCATTTGATTGTGTCAAATTTATTGTTATCGTTGCAGTTGCATCTTCGCCTTTCACAACTTCATCTGGGGAGTCATGAGCAAGTGCCTTGAATGTTGGTGTACCATTAAAACTATTTGTAAGTGATGGTGGATCTGATGTTACACTTGAATTATCATCGTATGATATTGACTCTTGTAATTTGAAAAGTGAAGCTGGCTGCGATAATGAATGGTAACCATCAGAACTGGCAATGCTTGAAAATGATGGACGAGCTGAAGCTATATACTCGCTAGAACTAAATAATCATTATTTATTGTATATACGCTTTTGAAGTCTTAGCTGTTGACTACAGAGTATCGTTGATTTATTCGCTACTTACGTTTCATCATTAGTCGCAATATTAAGTTTATCATCAATAGATGCTTCATCATCATCATCATCATCATCATCTTCATCTTCACTATTCTTAGTTCTATAACGAACAAATAAATGTGTACAAGCATCTTTTTCTCGTTGTTTAATTTTAAAAAATTCTTCAAGTACGATCCGTAATTCTTCACTTGTATGACAAACAGTGAAAAAAATGAAACCAAATGGTCGCCGATACAATTGGATTTCGTTGAAGTGTGCTTCAGTAACAGTTAAACTTCGTTTCACATAACAATATTCTACTTTAAAATGTTCGAATGTATAGTTTTTATGATTGAAAATACTTGTAGAAAATCTTAAAAATAATTCAAAAACATTTTTTTAACTTTTCGTACAACAAAAAAAAACATTAGATCTACCTTTGAAAATCAGGTGATGATTCTTTTAATGGATTATCAGGTAACTCTTGTAGAACAACTCGCACTTGTCGATAGTCAGTAAACGATGTGTCGAAAAATTGTCTGAACATGTTTGTCTCAGTTAAGTTTACTCTAAAAAGACATGATGAAATAATCAAGAAATCCTTTTGTTAACAAAATACAAGAAAAAGACAATGTGACTCAACACTCTTGTATACGACGGTAAGATAACAGTTGTTGACATCGAACGAAAAAAAACGTCTCAGAATATGAAATAAAAGATAACCATTTGTTTCGAGATAGAAGAAAATAGACAAGAACTTTGCTAAATCTTTTTTAATATCAATAACATAAGGGTGGCGAACATTTTGTACAAAAAACAGCGCTAAATGAAAATCATCTCTTAAAACTTTTCCACACTCTCCTACATATGGCATCTAGCCGATCAAAACCAGAGTCACACTTTTAGAGTAAGACGATGGTATCGATTTCAGTAGCGAATTGAGTTATAGTGGGTATGAGGAAAATATCGACATAGTTTCTGCTGCTTAGTGGATGTTAGTCCTTTGTTAACTGATTGGTGTTTTGGATTCAGAGCAACAAACTTATAGGATGGACGTTTTTCATCATCATCCATGGCCATGATTCGATAACTATAATGACTTAAAGGAGCATTTTCAGTTCAATGTTTTGATAAATAGCTGATTAATTCTTAGAACAGAAATGTTCGAATAAATATGCAACAAACTACACATCTACGCGAGCATGCTCGAGTCGCAGAGAGAGAGAGAGACAAATATGAAAGAAACTAGTTAGTGAAGGATGGAACTTCATCGTTGATATTTCCGGTGGATTTAGTTGTTGTTTGATGACAATTGTCAACACATTGCAAAATTCTGGTAGTGCTATCCAATTATGAAACATTGAACACCGCTTACTGAAAATATAGATATCAGTCGGCAGATAATTGGGCAATAGACGATGGTGTGTGGGGTGTGGATATTTCTTCATGAACACCCGCACTCTTCTCTGAAGGGTGACTTTTTGCTATTTCTATTGTTACTTTCAAGTTCATGAAAACTAATGGAAAAAATTACACAGGCATAATTTTGTACTTTCCGATTAAATGAAATATGATTTCAAAAACTAAAAACAAAAAATATTTTTCTTAAAAATAGCATATAATTATTCGAATGAAAGATCGAAACAATCGATGATAGGACATCTATCATTGACGAAGTCATAAATCTTTTTATTATAAGCGTATGATCTTGCCGTAACTACTTCCGAAAGAAATCAGATGTCATTTTATTGATAATTAGATTACAAGCTCAATAATATATTGGCGTTCGAATGCTTTTTGAATCACTTCAATATGGTAGTAACCATTAGCGTTAATGAAATATAATGCTTCATTTGTTGACATACCATTATTGATTAGCAGTTCTTGTATTGATAACTCTTCTGCTATACTACTTAGATATGTGTCATCGAATTCTTCTGTATTTTGTGCAAGAGCTCTAAGAGCAAGGGGGAAAAGCTGATTTTTTGATTTAAGATGATTTATTTGATTTAATTTTGATTTTTAGCTGAGCTAAATCAGCTTTTTCCTCCTTGGTCTATTCTCATATTATGAATGGTCAGCTATTTTCCCAAGGACGATTTTTCACGAGCTCTCATTTGTTATAAAATTCACTATTTATGCTGTTTAAAAATCAAGGCGCTATTCTCCTGAAAAACTATTATGTTCAACCTAGTACAACAAAATTATAATATATAAATTCTTTACTATGAAAATTTCACCAATTAAATGTAGTAGTACTTATATTATTTTAAATATATTTCAAAGATCTTTAAAAAAGTATACAGTGTAACAAGAAGGTAAAAATCAAGTTATACATAAATGAGATTCCTTCAAAATTTTACCTTCCATTTTGATTAATAAAAAATTTAGATCTCTGATTAATTAACACGTATGTGAGAATTTTCATATTTTTTTGTGTATAGAGAAGAAATTGACGAAAAATATTGATATTACGTTTTATTTATAAATGAATATATTCACTAAACAAATATTGTAATACAACAAATAGTCAACGATATACATTCCAAAAAAGACTATACTATTAAAATTTTACTGTCATTTAAGAAGAATCGAGGAAAGTATAATTCATGCAAATATTGTTTATCAGTTGAATAGCAGAGACGATAGAAAAGCGAGATTGGACTGCTATATAGTGTTGAAGATGGATATAATTCCATATAACGTATAATCACAAATATAATCACTTTGATTATGCTTGTAAATTGAGTATAACTTGAATGGTTGTAGTTATGTATACGCCTCAGGGGTGGTCTGGTCAATAGTGACAATTTTTTCGATAACTCAGCCATTTCTTGACGGATCCCTCTCATCTTCGAACTCAACTGAGATATTGATGAGATCATTCTGTGTACAAAATTTCATGACAATCGAATCAGTCTTTCAGGAGCTATTGTGTAGACGACCGGCCAGACACACTGACCGATTCTATAGTGTACTCACTTTTGTTTTTTGAGTACACAAAAACAATATATTGTCGATGGTGCATAAAAGCTTTCAATTATCCAACGCTTCAATTTCATTCGAGTAATATGAGTGATATTTAGTGTACGTGTCGAAACTAGAGCAGCAGCACAATAAATAAATGTCAATTGAATTTCTATTATAAGAAGTTTAATAAAATGATTAGCAAGACTATTGTATGATCCTTCTTGATCATTTAGTTCTTCGTTGTCATCAAGTTGCTCGTAGCCGAAAAAATAACTACGACAAAACATCAATATCGTCATCATATATAGATATAACAAAAATAGAGTGATTGTAACCGGCATCAATATCAACAATAAGTAACCATAGTGTACGTTCAGTCAGACTGACTCATAACCATGGCAGAAGTAATTAAATTGTTTCATACTATCGACTGTCACTGATTGAAAACAATGGAATCACTTGAGAAAAACACTAAAGGATACACTTAGATCGATCAATGATAACCTTGCGGATGTGTGGTGATCGCATAACCACGATCGATCAACGTCATCTCTAGGGGATGTATATGCGACTTTTTTTCTAGCAGTCGCTTGTTTCCAGGTTCTCTGCCGACCGATGACTATACTTTCGGTGAGTGCCGTTCAATGGTTCATAAGTGAACGGCACTCATCGAAACATCGAACTGAAAATGTTCCTTTAAGTCATTATAGTTATCGAATCATGGCCATGAATGGTGATAATGATATGTGCATGTTGTAAGTTTGTTGCTCAGAATCCAAAACACTGATTAGTTGACAGAGAAAAAGCATCTGCTAATCAACAGAAATTATGTTGATATTTCTCCATATCCACTATCATTCGATTAACTACTGAAACTGATGCCATCGTCTTCATCAAATAGCAAGAAAGCGCCAAGCGGAAACGTTTTAATAGGTGATATTTATTTATGGCTGTTTTGTATGCGAAGTGTTCCCCGTTCTTTGGTAAATGTTAGAGAAGCCACTCTCCGACGAACTGCAGAATGGAGTTGACTTCGATTACTGCAAGTGAAAGATATTATTATTGTAGAGAGAATGAAAGTGCGAAAACTTCGTAGAGCAAAAAGTATCTTTGAGTTTAATTCATTATCACCATGAATGTTCTTGATACTAAATTTATAATATTTTTTTCTCATTTTATTCGACAAACTGCGAATAGCAATAACAAAAACAGCAAGGAAAACAAATGTTACGTTTTATAATTTTAACCGTTTGGAATCTGTAACTGTTGTTTGATCCGAATGACGACGTTTCGTCGTTGGATTTGTTAATGTTGATTGCTGAAGTTGTTGAAAGAACTTCGTTGAACTACGTCCCGTTTTCTCACTCGATCGATTTTTATCCGTCTGAAAGTAAAAGAACAATTTAATTGATCGAAAAATGTATAAAAATGTAAAAAATTACCTTTTCAATTCGAACATTCTTCATTTTACCAAGTTTCTTCAATAAAGTTCGTTTCTCTTCTAGAAATAAAACACAATAAATTAAATTCGAAAAAACAAACATCGTTTCATCATACCTTTTTCTTCTTCCTCAGGATTAGTTGCCTTTGGTGTAGCTTTTGACTTTAATTTAAGTTTATGTTTAAGTAAACGTCTTGCATGTTTTTTATCTGTATCCGTTCGTTCGCTATCAGCTTTAATATCACCTTTTGGTCTTAACTAAAGTCGAACAAGAAAATTAATCAAAATCAATCAATTTGTTTTATTTAGCTCACATGAACTTCTTCCGGCGCAAGTAATGCTGAATCACTAACTGTTGTTGGTACAACTTCTTCAATTAAAATAGCTGGCAGATTATTAACAATTGTTACTTCAGGTACAGGCTAGAAAATAGAAATATATATACATGATCAATAAAGAAAATCTATTCAGCTCATCATACTGGTTTGGGTGTAAATCTGAAATTGGATAAAGCATCAAGATCGACAAATAAATTTTGCATCATTTGTCGAATAGCTTCATGTCGTTCGTCTTTTTTCTCTGTTTTATCATTCTAATAGAAGACAAATAGATTCTTTAATTTGAATAAATCTACAAATGAATTACTGTTTGTTTTTTTAAATATTCTTGTTCATAAACTTGTGCCAAACTCATTTTACTTTTTTCATGTTCAAGTACAATTTCTTTTTTATATGCTTGAGCTTCAGTATCGGTAGGCTTCTTTTTTCGTTCAACATCATCAAATACTCTATCACGTATACGCTGTTTTATTAAATCTTCTATTGAATCTGTTGTTTCATTTGTTATTACCGGAGCTAAAAGACAGAGAGGATGAAACAAAACAAAAAAACTATACTATGAAAATGATGTTTTGATTTAAATAAACATACCTAATCGAGTAGTTCGATCATATTGAAGATATTCTTCAAGTAAACTATTTTCTGGTCGTTTATGACCATCAGTTTCTCCTGCCAATTGCCATGGCTTAGCACTTAACATATCTTTTTCAATATATTTTATTTGACGTTTTAACTGAAATTAATCGCAAGAATGAATAAGAAATTTTCAAGATGATATTTACATAAATTTGTTGTTTTTCAAAATCTGATTTATTTTCAAGATTGATATCCTCTTCATCGTCCTCATCATCTTCTTCTTCTTGTTGTTGTTGTCGTCGTCCATTTTCTTCGAAATCAATAGGATCATTTTCTCTAAATAAATGAATTCGACAATTAAGTATTGATCAATGAAACAGAAAAACCTACATTTCAATTTTTTCTTGTTTGCTTTTCTTTTTCTGTTTTGTTTCGGCTGGTGGATCGAAAAATTCATCATAAGTTAAATCTTCCTAAATATAGATCATAACAATGTATATTTATTTCTTAGAATAACTTATTTTTGAAACGTACTTTTTCTTCCTCCAGAGATAGACCACCATTCTCTTCATCGTCGTCGTCATCATCATCAAATTCAAGATCATCATCTTCACTTGGTTTTCGATTTGATCTAAATAAACCATGGTTTGATTATATTGTTTTTTTTCTGTATTAGAATTTTACTTTGATATCTCTTGAATATCTTGTTCATCAAGAAATTTATTCAATGCATGTGAATCGAAAAATCTAAAGAAGAAAAAAATACCACAGTTTATCAATGAATGATTCTTCAATTATCATACGTGACAGATTTCTTCTTTTTCTTCGGAGTTTTATTTAATGATTTCGATATATCTTCTTGATCATCATTATTTTCTCCTAGTTCAATATTTTCTTCAATTGACGATGGCTTTTCTGGTGATGGTGGTCGAAGTAAATTACCAAAAGTTTTTTGTTTGGTTTTACTTTTAAGAATAGCTGCTAAAAATGGTTTAAATCGATTTTCATTGATTGATTTAAGTTGTTGATAAATTTGTTCCGATTCAAAGCCATGTACATGCACTGAAAGCGGTGTAACTGTATTGAAAGACGATGGTAATAATGCACATTTTAAATCCGAAAAATGTTTAACATAGTTAGCGAATGTTTCTGAACGTTGCTTATCAGTTCTAGTGATTTAAATGCAGAAGAAACGAAATAGAAAGTAAGACGAGAATGATTATTCTTACATGATAAAATCTTCAATTTTGCTCAAATGAGAAAAAATAAGATCGTCATTATGTTGTTCATTAGATTTAGAAACTGGTAGATTTACCATCTGAAAAGAAAATGAGTACTGATTTTAAATGAACAGTAAAAATAATTATTATTTAATGAAAAGATATAAAAGCATTCAATAGCATAAGTATGAAACGAAACGAGAGAACTTAATTTTATTATTGGCCGATGAAGAATCATTTGTGATTTTTCATAACAGATGACGCTAGTGAAAAGACTGTTACTTCATCTTCTTGTTAATTCAAGATTTTAATTCTTGCTTATTATATATTTTTAAAAGAAATAACGACTAAATCTATCATTAGATTAAAAGAGAAACCGAAAACTATTCCATAAGAAAACCTAACTATCGAGAAACGCGGCATAATTTCAAGAAATAAAAAGAGTTGTGGATATTAAGAAGATGTATGATTTCTCCATCGTTTCTATCCGTGTCGAACATTAGTGATTAGGAACACGGAACTATTCGCCCTTTTTGAACTCCCAAATTATTCTGGCCCCAAGTATGAACGTTCGTTCCATCGGCTGTTCCCGAAGATACAACATCTGGAGCTTTAAAATGTTTGTTGTTGTTTTTGAAGTATACGATATGTACCAGAAATGGCAATCATCTGCTTTCTAGTTAACTGTCAATTATAGTTATTTAAGAAGTTCTTACAAAAGAACTACTCTTTCTATGTAAAGATGACAACATGCGACATATTAACAACTGCTTCATGAATTGATAGATAATACTGCAACAAAATGTATGTATTGAACTCATAGATATCATTCAAAAACAGATGAGATTTTTGCGTCAATTATTGAAATTCAATTTGATTTGTCCACATTGTATCTATTTGGTTTTACATAAACTCCTCAAAACTTTTCTACGATTTCTACACGAACATGATTTACAAATATGAGCATCTTTGAACGGTGAATATGCTTTTTTTCTTACTTGGTATTGATGGACACAGTTGTTGATTAAAAATTGGTACTGGATAACAAACAGGAAGTTGATTACATCGAGGATGACGAACACAAATATGCTCAGCTTCATAACAACGATTGGTTGAACTCTCGCATGGAATTAGTTCAGAACAAGAAATCGAGAATTCATCGATGCAAATGGTAGCGTTAGGACCATCTAATCTATGAAAACAGGTGCACGCATAGTTTTTCGCGCATGGGTCATACTGATTCATTTTATCACATGTCTGTGATTCAACTCGAACTATAAAAATATCGAATCAATCATGAGACATTTATGACATATCAAAAATCGAACTTGCGAGACTTAAAATAGACATTGCTCAATGTTAGATGAATAAATTCAATAATTGTATTTTTTTACATTGCCTGAATAGAACAAGTATAAAACAACGCATCGCTATTTTGACTATCGTTTACGTTCGACTGAGAAAAGTATTAATGATGCCTATTTTTGTATTTTTTGAGACGGAAGAAACCAGTAACTTGATCTTTCGATTGACGGACATTTGATATTATTTCAATGCTTTATTAAGTTAATCTTTACAGAAAAATAGAGCGATCAAAGTTATCAACGGTTCTTTTTCTGATGAAAACAACCAATACGCTTCTGCAAGGATCAAAGACAATTCTTTTCTTAAAATTTTTATTGTGAGCAGTGTACAGAGGTTTTCATCGTGATCAAAGCCAAGCTGGGTGGATGAATAAAATAGTATCTCTAACACCTGCACCCACACCACCCTCAAGATTCCAAAAAAGAAAAGAAATGCATACAAGGTAAATTATGACAGAAGGCATATGAAACAATTGCAAAAAAAAGTGATGTAGAACGTAAGAACACTTCGGAGAAGTCCGTAAATGCGATTGTCACTCATTCAGATACTACATTCAAGGACAAGCGTAACGAGTGGTATTACAACAAGAGGGGAAAGCACGGTTTCAGTACTTCAATGAACGAATGACGTACAAGTGAAGTACGTTAAGTATTGTACTTCAATCTTATTTGAAATACTGCAGTTACGATTTCTCTTTCTTTACGTTCAATACGAAATCATGTTGAAAAACTTACTCATTCGTCTCGAAATGTAAATTTTTTCGAGAGAAGCTCTGCACTTGATGAATTCATGAACTTGCATTAATTTCAAACTGATTTTTCATTCTCATTTTTATTTCATAGAGTTTATTTTCAAATTTGAATTATGTATATTGAGTCTAGTGATTGATTTTTCAATCTGAGAAATATGTATATATATATATATATATACATGATTCAATGTGAGAAAAATCAAACGCTAATTTTTGCGTATATCGTAAATTTTGACAGAAAAATGTGCGTTGTTGGATGGGCATGAACAACATAAGAGTGAGAGAGAGAGAGAGAGAGAGAAAATGTAAAACTCTCCAAAGACTTTGACAATTTCATTTGTCATACAGAAAAATAAATAAATAATACTAGAAGAAGGAGAAGGAAAAACTTTATCGACAATCGAGCACATCTTTGGGATAGTCACAAAGTTGTTTACGTAAATTGAACATTGTCGGTTCAGGACATTCAGTTTTCGATCTAAGATAATCAAAAAGAAAATGAAATGAATAAATCTTGAACTTTAATTATTACTACTTACTTTTGTTGACAGTCAATAAATTTTCGACAATTACCCGGATAACGAATTCGTGAAGGATTTGGTGTTTGTAGTGGACATGGATCAACTAAATCGATAGAAGAAAATGCTAATTGAAATAAATCGTCTATCTATTTCGACTTACCGCATGTTTTATTTTCATCAGGCACAAATTGTTTTGAACATTCACATGCTCCATCACGGCATTCAGCATTATCGACACATTCAGCCGTTGCTCGATCACAGACTGCACCTGGATCACCTCGACACTTACGTATTGCCGGATGATATTGATAAAAAAGTTCACATGAACAAACTGATGGTGTTACTGTTTTGTTACACACGAGATTTGTTCGACAATCAATATTACTTTCACATGGAGCTTGATAATCACCACCTTTCATAGAAACATATTTTTAGATCTAATTCAAATATATACGAAAAAAATCGATTTATGTAAGTTCTATTCTTCCTGCCCTATGCTGATTATACAAATTTTAAGTCGAGAAAAATTAAACAATTGATGTAATATGAAAATTGATAGCTGTACTTACGACATTGTCTTTTGTCATTATCGTAATCAAAATGTTTCTGGCATTGGCATCGACGTGTTCCATCATTCATACCCGAACAAAGCATATACTGTTGACAATCGATATCTTTTGTGCACAATGCATTTAGATCGCCAACTAATATCAAATTTCGTTATTGGAATAATTGTACTTTAAATTTATACATACCGCATTTATCTCTTTTGAAATCATAATCCATCGGACAACGACACATGCCTGGCGATGATGAACTTTTTTTATGACATATGAATGGACTCTCACAACCATTATCATAATCGCATGATTCACCATAACGAGCAACTAAACCAATTGAGAATTAAAAAAAAAGAACAATGTAGGTTTTTTTTGTTTGTAAAATAATGTTTTTTAGTCAATAAATGAGAAAAAAAAGAATGAAGGACTGAAATTAAAGCAGTAAAGGATGCGCTGAAGAATGCTTAGTTAATGATAGCTAGTAAACACTAGTGCTTATTTGTTGTATTCGTATTAGCACAATAGAATGCTCATACGTTGCTTTTCAGTGCTTGTCGTCAATTCAATAGTTGTTGTTATCAATGTTGTGTCAATGATCTGTGCTGTTATAGTTGTATTAATATCGACGACAGTTGATAACAATTGCCGATCATTCTGGTGTAAGACTAGAGATATTCCGAGTGAGGAAAAGTGATAATAATAGCGTGTAAATTCATTAATAAGTGTAGGAGTAAGTCTTAGAAAAACAAAATAGACTCATCCCGTGTGTTTACCTCCGTAACTGGTACCAATATTAGTTGTATTTATTTCTCGATAGACAATCGGAGCTCGTCCTATGATGAATGAGTACTATATCTTTAAAAATTATGTTCAATAAAACAAAATAACTATGAAATTAAAAATAAAAATAAAACACAGATTTGTTTTTCAGTCGGATTATCCGAACAAAAACAAAAATCTGTTAATCTTTTTTTTTTCTTTCTTATTTTTCTATAATAGAGAGACAAAATAAAAACTCTTCTCAAACTAGTGAATAACTTACCTTGAAATGTCAATGATAGAATAAAAATACCAATAAGTAATCCACACATAATAATAGCAAATAGAACTAGAAGACACGTCAACAATCGCCGTTCTCTTGATAATTGATTGAAACGAATCCGGAGTCTGCAATGATCCGATTTTGTTTCAAGTAATGGTGGTATAGGTGATGAAAATGATAAAACATGATCAGTCATTTATACTGACTGCATGACAAAATTCTTAGATGCCTTTCAAATATCACTTTAGCTGACTGTTCGAAATAATTCTTTAAGTTTGTTCGTTCCTTTTTTTTCTTGCTCACTTTTTATGTATATATGTAATATGTATTCTTTCAATGGTCTCTATATGAATGTGTATTGTTGGGTACCAAGACAACGCTTTCTCTTCTCGTTCACATACATCGATGTGTATGCTTAGAATAAGTGAGTTCATCGAACTGAAGAAAAAAAGTGTATTGACAGAGTGAAGTAATGTATATAATCTCTCTTAGAAAACAAAACAAAACATATCATTTCATGATGTAAGAAACTATTATTTAGTTTCTTTATACCTTTGAAGTTGCTCTTGAATGGAAGTATTTGATTCTGTTGATGTAAGGATTGTTGTTTGTGAACCATTTTGTTTATTATCATTTACATCGTTCGTTGATGTTTGTAATAGATCTATTGTTAATGGTCTAATACGGTTGCTTACATTTGTAAATTTTGTCGATGGTATGAATTTGTTCTTTTTACGCATTTTACGATCATTTATATCAGCCATTTGTGATAATGAATGTTTTTGTTGAACGTTATACGGTTCTTCTATATATGGGCCGATTTCTTCTTGTTCTTTTTTTATACTAAGGCGTGTGGCCTTATCATCTTCGTCATCATTGACTTCATTCTCTTCTTTTCCTTCTCTTGTTTCTTGTTGGACATTTGCAAAATTTATGATGCATTCTGTCTCTGTTGCTTTGTCACTATATTCGACATCATGTCGAACAGATCGTATTCGTTCGTTTTTTTCACCTTCGACCATACTAGTATCAAATTCACGATGTAACTCAATTTGTGGACGTGCTAAATCAACTTGTACAGCTTGGTCGCATCGTTCTATATCGTTGCGAAGCCCTATTGGTTCACTTGTTTCAGTGCCGATACACTTGTCATCGAAATGATCACGAATAATTTGTGTTGGTTTTTTTTCTTCTTGTTTTCGAAGTGAAAGACGACTCAATGAACAAACAGGCAATTGAACAAATGATTTAACACGTTGTAATACACCACTACAATCACTACCGCTAGGACGAGGACTAATTTCAAATTGACTTAATGTTTTCGTTGGACTTTCTTTTCGACTTGATTGAGTTTGTTTTTGACTTGAAAGTCGTTCTAAAGCACTAAAACGATCGGAATCGTTAGAAAACATCGATAAACCTTCATAATCTATGATTTTATAATATTCTTTTGTTGGCTGTGGTTTTCGTCGTTGTTGACGTTGTCGACGACGACGAAGATGTTTAAATTTTTCTATAACATATGGATATTGATGGCCAAGGTATGCATCTCGAGCATCTAGCCATCGTTTCAAGCCTTGTTTTGACATTTTAGGAATATGTAAAACAGGTGTAACTGGACGTCGGCTTCCATAGGATAATAAACTTCGATGAGATTTTGGACTATGACAATCAATTAAACGTTTTACTTTCGATTTACCTGCAGAAAGACGATATTCTGCACCTCTCAAACTTAGCTTATCTATTCCTGAAATTTTTGAAAAAAAAATCGAAAACAAAAAAAAATTTCTAAATAAAAACTTACGTTCTTTCAATTCTGCTGTACTGATACGTTTAGTCGAAGATGATGAATTCAAATTTCTACTTATCATCCATGGTGTTTCTTTCGATTGTTGATAACAGTGGTCATTTGTCATTCCTGATTGTCGTCCACCAGTATGATGACAGACCCACCTATCTGGTTGCCATGCTGATGGTAGTTTTGTCTGTTGCCGTTTTTCTTGCATTCAATTCACACAAATACTAATTTTCATAGCAATGATGTTGAAGGTAGTCCTTTTTTCATACTGTACCCATCTTATCTATTCTCTTTTTTACTGGTTTCATCGACCAATTTTTTGTTACTGTTTCACATATTTATTGAAACGATCATATTACAAGCGTACATAGAACCGTACTCTAACGTCCTTCAACACTAACGAATGAATATCATATGAATGAAGTAGAGAATTTATGGTATAGTTCGATACAGTATCAAAAATATGAAAACATTTGGTACGGTCCCATTTTCCATAATTTGAGGTTAGTTTGAAATAAAAAATGCAGCATGAAAATTGCTACTTCGAATAATTATCTAATTCCCATCGTACTAGAGAAATAACCAAAAACTTGTCAGGCAAAACATATTCGATTGCTATTCTCTAAATGCAACACTACAACTTAAGTTCAATATTCGAGAAGAGAAGATTCGTTCGAGAGAGATTAATAATTATCATCCGAGTCGACGAATCACGGAATAAATCTGATCACAGATCAAATAGATAATGCTACATTATGAGCAGTCTTTTGATTATAAACTTATCATCACAAATGACGCGATGATATGTTCAATTCATTTGTCAAAAAAAAGGAGCATATACATGAAAAGCATGATCTAAATAACAACAGGATTCCAGCCACCATGCTTTCCAAATCGAACTTTCTAAAATTTATTATCCACCCATAGAACATCCGCATTTGATAGAACCCATCCAAAAATATCAAACTTTATTACAAACAATCAGCTAGTAGCATTGCTATCATCGTTAAAATTAAAGTTAGAAATGTCGATTCAATTTTCAATAAAGCAGAACAAAATAAGTGCATCGATTTTTAAAACGATTTACCCACTGGAGGGGCATCTTCATAATTGAAAGCTAGATCGTTCACCATCGATCTTGTCATACCTACTTCATAGTTTCCACAATAACCATTCAAAATTGGTTGAGCAGGAATTCCTCGTCTATAACCAATAAAACAAAAATGACTCATTCATTCCACCTCATTTTTCATACTCACCTTAAAAGACGACATCGATGAACGTCCTACAATGAGAAAATTAATTTGTCACGATTCAAAATTAGAGAGAGAGAGAATTATACCAATCGAAATTGAGCATCTTCAGAATTATTCACACTTGCAGCACTCCACAGTCGCTCGGCTACAGCAGATGCTTTAGGCCACAAACGTGCTAATAGATTTGTACCATCGACGAATTCAGCCCATAAACAAGCTTCTCCACCAAGAATTCGTTTCTTCGCTTCATCCGAACCTGTGAAGCCACGCAGTGGTTCAACCTCATAGTATTTGAAAAACTCTAAATTCATCACCGACGTATTTGTATTGTACTTTCCATAACTAATGTAATTGATGTACCAAGGACTCGACAATATTACATTGTAACCTTCGTTCGCTGCTTCATTCAAGTAAGCAGCCCATGAACCGAATGCACTGTTATCACTACTATCTTTCCATACTTGTATGATTGTGCCAGGTGGTAACTAAAATTCATTATGATTATCAAGTAATACCTTTGATCTAGTCTTACTTCGACCTTTTCATCCCAAACATCTTGCCAAACGATAGGTGTAACATCGATGTTACGTGTGATATTCAAAATCCTATCAGCATAAAATGTATGAAGACCTACTGAAGAATTAATATTGTTATCAATCATCCATTGTTTGATATCAGGATTGGAAAGCCTGAATTAATAGTAGATATTATTACTCTCAACGTTGTGATCATTTCGTGAATTACCTACCAACATTTATCATACACTTCGTCCATACCTTAGCGATTGGACGAAAATTAGAAAATATACTATTCTGAAATGAGGATCAGGTTACTTACCAAGATGAATGAAATTCGAAGGAAATCGACTTTTTACTTCTCGGAGTAAAGAATCCATGGTTGAGTAAACTCGTGGCTCGATAGGATTAAATATTTCCATTTCAGCCTGAGTTCCATAGATTGCTTGATTAGGTTTCCCATTAGCCCAACAAACAGTTATGAGTTCAGGCATCGCTTTACGCCATGAATACGTATGACCGGGTGTATCAATCTATTAGTTAACAATGGATACAATATAAAGTCTATAAAAGAGAAATAATGAGAATGGAGAAACCTCAGGAATGACACGAATCCCACGTAGTCGAGCATGTTCAATTACATCGCTGACATCAGCTGGCGTATAAACATGATCTGGTGTAAAAGCACCCTATCAACAACAACAATTCAAGTGTAAGGCAGAGCATGGCAAAGTTGTAATTACCGTTCGAGATAGATTTGGAAAGGTGGTACTTTGAAATGGAAACGATTGATCGTCGACAATATGCCAATGAAACACATTGAGTTTATTGTAACTCATGACATCCTAAGAGATCGAAAGAGTAGATGTTGAGAATTGAAATAAAAAGATTCGGTGGATTAACGAACAAGATTTTTTTTAATGATGGATACTGGTAGAAAATGCCGGGCACTATCGAGCATAACCCCACGATGTTGAAAACGAGGACTATCAACGATAGTGACCGAGTCATTGATGACGACCTGTAGAGAGAAGTAACAAGAATGGTGTTAGATATGTTTAAAGTGAACGTACATAGTTCTGTTGATCAATATAGATGAGTTGTGAAAATGTCTCAAGACCACGTAATAAACCCCAAACTGTTGTTGCTTCAACATTGGCGATTTGACGACTGATGGTTAACGTATCTATCAGTGAGGAAGAAATTATTGTATCATGGCAAGATGCTCTCCGGTTAGTTGCTCCCCGAACTTTTGCTCCCCAGTGACACTCGCTCCCCGGGAACTTGCTCTTCGGACATTTGTTCCGCAGCGACTTCTGCTCCCTGTACATTTCACTCCGGACACTTGCTCGCTAACCGTATTTAAGAAAAATGTTAATCATCACGAGATTAAGTTATAAATTTATTTATTTTGGAGTATGGGCCTATCGGTGTGAGTGTATCAGTGCAAGTATGGGCAAATCATTATCGGCTTCACTCACCCACACCTACACCCATACCCAAATCCACATCCACACCCTCACCTACACCCACACCCGCACGTCCACATCCCCAGAAAGAAAGAAATTTATATCTTAATATCGTGCTGATTAACATTTTTGTTAAATGCAGTTAGGGGGCAACACCCCGAGGAGAAAAGTTTCTGCGGAGCAAATGCCCAGCGAGGAGGTTTCTGGGGAGGAAGTGCCCGGGGAGCAAGTGTAACTGGAGAGGGAAAGTCCGGGGAAGAACTATCCGGGGATCATCTCTCCGGTGAACATCTTGCTATTTACCGAAATTATTACACGGCTAAATATTACGTCTAGATTATCTCATTTTACTTACAGCTTTCGTTTGAATTTTGTTGTATGTATTGTTCGCATTGTGCATTACCAGGTATGTTCAGGGTTAGGCTTTGTAAGATATTATTAGCACTAGACGGTGGTAGATTCATAGCAAGTTTTGGTGGAAAGAAAATTGGTTCATAACGTTGAATAGCTTTTGCAATGATATCACATGATCGAATGTTAGAATCGATTTTAAGATCATGAGGACGAATATAGAGTACATCATTCGAGATCGTGATTTGTTGTGGATGTGGCCATACTGCGTTTGGTGGTGAAGGTTTTCCCTGAAAAAAAAATCATGCCACCTATCAAAGCTATTTGTTTTGTATGAGCTCCTGTAAAAGGGTTTGATATCTTTTCTGTTTTCGCAGAAGTACTAAAGACGTTCATGGATGTAGAAAAATTGAGGAGTGTCTCTCAAAAGTATTACCTTAACTATGGAAACCTTTAAAAAATGCTTTATGAAGGTTCGGACTCGAAAGTTGCCAGGTCGTTTATTAAAACGATTATGTTGACGAAGAAAATGATTAAGTTATACTTTACTCGTAGTGGTAGTCGAACAGCGAGAAATTCGATTGCAGCTAAAGCAATTGTAAACGAAAAACTAATCAAGAGTAGACGTTGTCCTGTGTACATATTGCAACTGTGTGGAGTCTCTCTGTTTCGAAAATGGCTTTTAAATATGATGTGCGCAAATAATCTTGATGTCTTACCTCCAATGGATATTTCGCTTCGATAAACATTATCTCACACTGTATATTATAGTTTGCAAGAATAATCAGCAATTCTGATAAGAATAGAATATATTTCATAGCTGTTTGTAGTGTAAAATTTTCCTCTTGTGCCTTTTTTATAACGCAATTATACTCTGTTTGCTTCTTTTAAATATATTACTTCCTTTTATACACATTTTTCGTAGCAAAAAAGAAAAGATTTCAGTTGACTTAATATCAAAATTTTATTATCTAGGTAAGATAAAAGAGTGGGTCATTGATAGTACAGATTCCTATTTTTATTGCTCTGTTGAAATTTCAACACACTTATGTCTACATACCGCTGATAAGGTATTTTTTTCTCTCTATTGCTGTATCACATAAGAATACTTAGTATTAGTGATTTACATCCTGATCGCCATTCGTACATAAAAAGCAATGCAATAAAAAGAATAATATCACGATCTTACACTTTAAAAATCAAAGAAGATGTTTTCTTTGACAGTTTTTCTATTTTTTTGTTTCTCTTGTTTTATAATGTTGATAATAATCCTGTATGGAAACCAAACACGTGGCGTATTTCACGCATAATAATAACAATAAATTATAATAATGAAGGAATGAACGGAAATAAACGAAAACGAGTAAATAGAACTTAACAAAGAAGATTGGAAAGCCTGAAGTAATGAGGGGTGTCCAAGGACTGAGGATTAGGAACTCCTCATCAGTTCCACTACAGTTCCTTGCATACTAAAGGAAAAAATATGCAATATTCACGATGATTTTTGTTTTTACACTCATTTTCACTTGCAATATCGTGAGAATCAATGATTTCATGTAAAAATTACTTTTAAAACTGTAATATCGCGACTTTCGTGAATGATGAGACTGTCCCATGTAATCTTGAAAGGCATTTTAGATGCAGTTACATGCGTTTATGTTGGAAATTTTGGCGTCCTGGTGCGTTTCGGTATCGAGCTATGATAAAAGCGCAGATAAAGGCGTTTGTAATTATCTTTTTAAACGCGTTTAAAGAACTTCGACGAGTTTGTTAGCGTTAATCAGAGCAAACG